CGTATAATTCTATAAAAGTGAATTTTACAATAAAAAATCAAGTAAAAAGATAACATTTGCTATATTCTTTAATTTATTAACATAATTTAAATCAAAGCAAATTATAAGCTTGTTTTTGACAATTTTGCAGCAAAATAGAATTCGAATTAAGACAGCGAACAGTAAATGAGTCCAATCATGACTTTTCTTACGGAGATTAAAAAGTTAAGACTGATACACTTATGTATTGCCATCACTTTCTTCATATCGGGTCTGGTGATAAATTTGGTGCAGCTAATACTTCACTTGACATTGAAGCCCTTCAATGTTGTACTCTTTAGACGCATCATGTTTTATCTGTGCTATTCGCTAAACTCACGTAAGTAATATCTGCAATATCTCTGCATTATAAACCAATTTGAATAAATTACTTACATATAAAACTTTCTTCAGAGCTACTATTTGTTGCCGAGTGGTATTCGAATAGCAAACTACATGTTTATATCGATCCGGACGACTTGGAGAAATTCTGTGGCAAGGAACATGTTTTATTAATGATGAATCATACATATGAAATTGACTGGCTAGCCGGCTGGATGTTTACGGAGAAAAATCACGTTTTGGGTAATTGCAAAGCGTATGCCAAGAAAGCTATATCATATGTACCCGCAATCGGTTGGGCTTGGTATTTCGCTGAATTTGTATTCTTAGAGCGTTCCTACGATAAAGATAAAGAAATAATTGCGCGTCAATTGAAAGAGGTGTTTGCGTATCCAGATCCCGTATGGTTGCTGCTAAATGCCGAAGGTACACGCTTCACACCGAAAAAACACGAGGCCTCCGTTAAATTCGCTCAAGAACGTGGTATGACAGTACTGAAGCATCATTTAATACCGCGTACCAAAGGTTTCATTGCAAGCTTACCCACGTTACGTGGCCGCTGTCCAGCCATTTACGATGTAAATTTGGCCTTCAGAAAAGACGCAAAGGTTTGTTAGCTACCTAATGTTTTTTCGCATAGTTTATCTTTAAAATCTTTACTTAAAAAATTTTCTTAGCACCCACCGACTATTTCTACGATATTAAATGGCTACCCCATAGAGGGTTACATGTTTGTCCGTCGTATCCCACTCGAGAATGTACCTGAAGATGAGACAGCAGCTGCGGAGTGGCTGCAAAATTTGTTCCGCGAAAAGGATCGCATCATCGACAGCTTCCACACAACAGGCAGTTTCTTTGAAACATCAGGATTTAAGGAAGTCCCCGTAAAACAATTTAAATATAGGCCATATAATCTACTCAATTTTGCACTCTGGTCATTATTTTCCATCTCATTAATACTATACTATCTAGTGTCTTCATTTTTGGCACAAAATTGGATTGGTCTTTCGATTGCTGTCGGCATACTGTTAGCAAGTAAGTTAATTGCACTTCATTTTCTGAAATAAATATTGTATACGTTTTAATTTCTTATATCTTTTTTAGTCTACGTAATGATGGTAAAGTCAATAAATATGTCAAAAATCAGTAAAGCTTCCTCATATGGCTCCGAAACATCGAAGTCGAAGTAATACAAGTGTCAAGCATACTATTGTATGAGACTAGGGGGTCACCATCCATGCGCACAAGCGTATATCATAATACAAGCGTACAAACGACGAAATTGTAGCATAAATAGTCATATATGTAATTCAACTGTTATGTTCGTTAGAAGAACGGCAATCATTTAATTTATATTTCATCAAACAAAGTATCAGCGATCAGTTTATGTATATTTGTGATACACTTGAGAAAATATATTTACAACAAAATATAGGCACAAATTTACATATGAATGTGTATAAGGCAAAGTAAGTGAAGAACGCATTGTAATTATTAAATTAATATATTTGTATTGGGCTACAGTAAAATAGTGCTGCCTGTGGAATGTGTTAGACCAACAGTGGTCTAATTAAAAAGAATTGTAAGTGTAATCTTACAGTTACCTAGCATTCCAGTGTCAGTAATATGATTTAATTTTGAATAAGATATTATAGTCTTGAAAATGTTTCCACATAATCACAAAGCACAATTGAACCACCTATAAATTGTAATAATAAGATATTTACGAGTTTTAAGATAAACTTCCTTTAGTGTTAATTGTAAATCAAAGGAGAAGTTTAAATGGAGATGATTATTGTAACCTGAAATGAGACGGAAAAAAGTTTTACGAACTTGGAGTAAATGTGCAAATAAAATCAGTTGAAAAAATATAATTTTTAAATGCTGCATATTTATTTTACAATTATTATTTTCTTAATGATTAACACTCTAACCTATTTGTTTTACTTTAAGCCCATTAACCCTATATGAAGCCCATCAACCTTATATTAATTGCTTTTTTTAAATATATATATATATTTTTTTATTGTATTTTATTTTTTGCTTTTCTTTATTTATCTATATTTTAATTTATTTATTTTTAGTTCAATACTGCGCAATCACCCATTACAAATGTTATCAAAACGCTAACGCGTAGTCAATATAATCGCACAATCGATAAGATTGTATATAATAATACTAATAATTTTATTCTTTATACTAAAAGAATTACAAGCAATATTTTTATCATTAAACCCAAACATAAATAGCAGGCAAAGTTCAGGTTTCATACTTCTCAGTAATTGCTTTATTGACTTTATTTTCAATAGAAGTTTAAGAATGTAAGGTTAATTTGTTTCTCATATTACCGTGGCTTTATTTAAAACGGTATGTTAATCATATAAGTGAAATAACAGCTGTGAAAATGTACTAATTTTTAATTTAATTATTAAAATCAACTACACTTCCATGTTTAGTACGTAAAATAAATGGAAAGTGAATGTTGCAAAGTTGTTTATTAGTACAATTGAATGAACCATAGCAAATTATAAATAAGCCCACCGCAAGTAAATATATGGAATGAATTTATCCATCACAATGTTATACAAATTATAGTCGTAAACTGAAAAAATAATATATTGGAAATTTTGTATGTAATTAATATACATATGTATATTTAGTTTTGCTTATTAATTACACTAACATCGTTTGCAACCTGTCTTTTAGAAAAATTGTGTCAATACTGCTTAAATAATACATTTTGTGAACTTCTGAAGTTTACTTATATTATCATTTAATGATTTTTTATCTAAATCATATCTATAGTCATTAATTTCGATATACAATAAAAGGTACTACAGTTCGAAAAAACAGTCAAATATCCCCGAACTGTGTGGAATTTGAGCGATTATGGCTCTATATTTGCTTTGGAATATCTAGTAGTTTGCTAGCAAAACGTTACTGCTTTTGATGGGTAGAGTACACTATTGTTTGTAAAAAGATTTTACTATAAAACTATTTTTACTAAAAACTTTTGGATATGCTTCTGACTGAAGGTAAACNATAATATTAATAACGAAAACTATTTTTTATCTGTTATACAGAAATAAAAGATTTTTGAATGTTATTGTTATTAGAAGCATGTCGCTAGAGGCTAAGCTTATATTAAAAATTGACTTTGTGTGTAAAATTGTATGTACGAATGAATTTTTATAGTAACATAACTATTAGAAAAATACACGAAAACAGTTATTTCTTTATTATATGATTGTCTAAAAACAAAAATATTATTAAAATACTTCTTTTACAAACTGAAATTATTGTTTTACTTAAAAAGAGTGAACAAAGGGTTTTCATGAAGTTTTATGCTTCTCAAAAAATCAGAAATAGTTTTTGTGTGGATATAGGAGAAACGATCTTTAGAAATTTGTTATTTCATGCAGTTAAGATTATATACGTTATATACGTCCTTAACATTTCTTGAAGCATTTAAGCCAAATATATTTAAATAAGATAAAAGAGAGTTAAATAAGTAGGTACAAATATTTGTATTGAACATAAAATTGCAATAAATATTTACATAGTCAGTTTTTATGCATATATGTAAATACATATGTACATATATGCAAATAAACATACACAATTTTTAAACAAAACCACAAAAACTATAGAAGAAATAATTATAATTGAGCCATACTGCATATACAGAGTACACATGATTTTCCCTTTCTTTGAAGGGCAAATTCTATTTATAAATTTAAAGTATACATATTTGCTAATATTTACACACATTTATACACTGAGCTATTCAATTAATTAACGCACAATTGGCTAAGGTCAGTGGAAAAGCATTTCATGAATTTAAAAGTAACCAACGAGTTGACCGAGTTTGATTTGCGAAAACAACCAAGAAAAGCATCTGAACATCTGATTCTTTCATTGCCAGAGTGGAGTTTTTATTAATTCGAATAAATGAATTAGTTACTTTCACTTCTTATAATTAATTTTATACACAGATGAATATCGTACACATTATAAATGGACGACAGGAAATACAACTGTAATGGTTATCATTTGATTTCAATTTCCATAAATCTTGTCAAACTCTATTACCATTTTGACAGGAAGACAAGTCAATTGCCAAAAATCAGCTGGGAACAAGAAAGCGGACGATTATATGTTCGTGAATTTATACAACGCTATCATATAATTGTTATCGCTTTCTTTAACAAATTCGTTTTCAACATTTAGGTAGCTTACCACATTGAGTTAAAACAACATATTTATATTATTGGTTATCTATATTACTTTTGTAGATTGCCGCGTTTCTTTAGGTACTGATGTTGTTTAAAGAGTTTATTAAATTTCTTGGCGTTTTAGGAAATCGATATTTTTGACTTTTTGTACATATGCATATAATCATGATTGTATGCGTATTTATTAAATAACAATTTATTAAGAAAGCTCTAAGACAGTTAAAATGTTAATGTTTTAATAATTTGTAAATTGTGGTAGACAGTGTTAACTTAAAACTTGAAAAGAACAATTCATTTATTTCGAAGTTACTTGGCACTTATTGCACAACCCTCAGCTATCGTTGAGTTTCTTTTTTAATATTTTGTATATTGCCGTATCATACTTACATACGTACATAATTTAAAGTGACCTTTGGAAGCAAATTTTTGAAGATTGTACGCGTACTGGTATTACACCAAAGTGATTTGTTCAGCCACACTTTTATACCAAGCCAAGTTACTACCAGGTTTCAATTAATGCAAGTGATACGAAAGCTTTTGCTATCAGTTGCAATTACGCCTGATACCTGCTTGGAGAGATTTTTCAGTCTTTCTTCAGCGAGGTTTGTGATCAGTAGTGTACTGATCGCCAAGCAGCATAAATCTATTTCAATTATAAACAGTGAATATATATATTTTTTATTAATAATCAAATAAATATAACATATGTATATACATATATATTGTGAAAGTGAAAATACATTGTACGTAGATATTTATTGGTGGAACACTGTTTGTTTTCTTTAGTTAATGGGTTGGAAAAATAACAACGCAAAAATTTGCTTATACATACATATGCAAATATTTCACTTTAGTATAAAAAATCCAAATTTTTGAAATAAACCAAAGTCATCCATAATCTCCTTTTTTAATTTTTGATTAGCTTTTAGCATAACACGTTAATCATGATTTCGTTGACGGAGTTGAAAAAACTCACAATTGTGCATTTAGGCATAGCCGTAACCTTCTTCATATCAGGTTTGGTGATAAATTTGGTGCAGCTAATATTGTATATCGCTTTGAAACCCTTCAACGTCGTGCTCTTCAGACACATCATGTACTATCTCTGTTATTCACTGTACTCTCGTAAGTTGAAATACAGTATGAATTTAATTTATCATCACTTATTAACGTTTTCTTTGTCATTTTAGAGTTGATATTCATTGCTGACTGGTACTCAAATAGTAAACTACATTTGTACATCGATCCAGAGGAATTAGAAAAATTCTGTGGTGAGGAGCATGCTATGATTATACAGAATCATTCATATGAAATTGATTGGCTATGCGGTTGGATGTTTGCCGACAAAGTACATTGTTTAGGCAATTGCAAAGCATATGCAAAGAAAGCTATTTCTTATGTGCCTGTAATGGGTTGGGCATGGAAATTCGCTGAATTTGTATTTCTGGAACGTTCGTACGAAAAGGACATTGAGATAATTTCACGTCAATTAAAAGAGGTATTTGCTTATCCTGATCCCATATGGCTGCTGCTCAATGCTGAGGGTACACGTTTCACACCAAAGAAACATGAAGCTTCCGTTAAATTCGCTGAGGAACGTGGTTTACCTGTATTGAAACACCATTTGATACCACGTACAAAAGGTTTTACGACAAGCCTACCAAGCATGCGTGGTCGCTGTCCCGCCATTTATTGCACTACTTTGGCCTTCAGAAAGGAAGACAAGGTACGTAATACATATATTTAAACCTTTCTTATGATTAGTTATAGTACTTTAAATTTACCAATATATACCTATATATTTTTATACTCTTGCAACCAGCGTGTGAGTTCGTAGATGGGTATAACCGACACTGTAAAAATTAATGAAATCGGCTGTTAACCCTGCCCAATCTCCATGTAACGAATGGTTCCGCTGAAAACAACTAGAAGCGCGATAAATTAATGATAAATATAAATAACTCTTATTTTTTCACTTTTCAAAATGGAAATCAAGCATTAGTGAATGCATCGGGATAAAATTGTGGCCGAATAGTGCGCTTAAGTAGGCCCCCTTATGGTTAAAAATTGTGCAAATCGGAGCAAAACTATTCATCCAAACTTCCCCTAGATCCCATATAACTTACCCTACTTCGATCCTGGCAAGCTGCAAGAGTATGAAATATTTTGTTACATCCGAACTTATTTCTTCCTTACTTGTTATATATGCAGAATGCACCGACTATTTCCACACTGCTCAACGGATACTCGGTCGAAGGTCATTTGTATGCACGTCGTATTCCAGTAGAGAGTGTGCCGGAAAATGAAAAGGAGGCGGCTGAATGGTTACACAATTTGTATCGCGAGAAGGATCGTTTGGTCGACAGCTTCCACACAACTGGCAATTTCTTTGATGCTTCTGGCTTTAAGGAGGTGCCCGTTACTGTTTTAAAATATCGCCCATGCAGTTTAATCAACTTTGCTCTCTGGGCTGTATTTTCGATATCGCTTATACTCTATTATTTGATATCTTCACTTTTATCACAAAATTGGATCGGTCTTTCGATTGCTGTGGGAATACTTGTGGCATGTAAGTGCAAATCGTTTTAATTAAATTTTCTCATAGTAATCCTTTTTTTCGAATTTTTCAGTCTACATACTAATGGTTAAGTCAATCAATATGTCGAAAATCAGCAAAGCTTCATCCTATGGTTCGGAATCGAAAGCGGATGCAAAGACAAAGTAATTGCTCTGAGCTTGCATGCTTATACATACACATGTACGTGTATCTCTGCGAGCGATTTTACAAATTACAAGTTTTAAGAACATGAGAACGTATGTATATAGCCATAAATTTACTTTCGTAATACGAGTATGAGCAGTGTGTTTGTTTCTGAAATTTGATGAGGTAAAAGGGGACAAAGTACAACAGAATTTTTAATTCGTGTTCCCCATTACCTGCACTACATGTAAAAGTGTACATACAGACATGTACTTACCAGTAATGTTAGTGGACAGCCAATCACTATTATTTAACATCGGGATCATAAATAATTAATGCTGACTGATAAACAGCATTAATTTGTTGTGTGTAGGCTTTAAACCATTGGACAATGAGCGTCAATATTTCGATTTATACTGTGGTTGCCGAAAAACATGTTAAAAATCGTAACATTTATATAGCTTTAGAAATCGACCAAAACTGTGTAAATTGACTATATTTCCATTTTCGAATACTTTTACATACATACATACATATGTATATAAACGGACTAATTAGAAAAGCACGTACGAGCACCTGTTCATTGTTTAGACTGCTGAATGATATTGAAATAAAGCGTAAAGATGCGTGTTTTAAGCTTAAATCTAATTGTGATCAATTTCTGGGTTTTATTTGATTTAGGTGAAAATATATAAATACATATTATAAGTATGTATATTTGCAAATTTATAATTTGCTAAAATTTTGTGCCAATTGTGCGGGTTCTACGTTCAATAAAAATTGGAGATGACATTAATTAATAATTTCATAAAATGCTACTTTGTATTGCATGCTTTCTCTAATTATTAAGTAAAATAGTATGCTTTTAGAAAAAGCTTTTTAAATAAATTACACAAAACGAAAAGTGGCCGTACAACAACACTTTGCATTTTAAGTCTGGCTTGTACAAAATCTTTCAAAACTGTCGTGCCAGTTATACAGGCAATTTAAGTTTACTCATTTATTGACAATTTGCTTTTTGGTTTTTCACTGAATACTTGTAATTGATATACATATTAGAAATTTAGATATGTAACAATTCAAACAAATAAATATTATGAACTTATAAATATTGTACTTCTTCCAACCATTAATGATATTCACAATAAAATTATACTGAAATTTCGGTTTTAAAAATAAAATTTCTCATTGTTTCAATATATGTTTTACGTGCCATTATGCATGTATATTGCTGTTAATCACTTCCGCTTGCCGTAATTGTTCCGCTGGTAATGAGGTCTAAAAAACACAGCGTCTTATTGCATTTTTTTTCTAAAAACTGTAATAATTTTACAGTTTTATGGATGAAACGGCCCAGAAAATTAACTGTAAAAGTTCAAAGTGCATGTATACATTGTTTTCGTTAAAAAAAAAATAAGTGTTTAGTGCCTTTTTATCACCTGGCTAACATTATGCAAGGTAGGGTTTAAAGTTAATAACTGCTTATCAACTTTTGTTAACTTGATTTAGTTGTTTTTTTCAAAAGGAAAAAGTAAACAATTAATCGGTTGTTGGACTATAAAATACACACGATTTATTGTTAAAGCATGAAAAAGTAATCATTGAAATAGGTATGGACACTGCTTTGTACAGAAGCAGATAAATCAAAGACGTTACGTCATAAGACAAGATTAGTCAAATCACTCTGTAGAATAACTGCGTTCATACATATGTATAATTAAATTAAGTCTGTATGTGTAAAGTAAGACTGCGTTAAGATTAGTCTGCTACATTGTTCAATTTTAATATGCAAACATACATATGTATGTATATATTTATGCTGATTTATGTGCACACAAGAATTTACACTTTCGTTTAATGTTTGAGAAAGTCAGATTAGATTCTGCAATATTTGGGAATTTATGAAATAAAATTAAATAAACCGCACGTTTGTGTTCTTACAAGGAGATTTACTTGAAAACAGAGTTCAAAAGTCTACATGCATAGGCACATAACTACACAAAAGTGGGGATTCTTATTTCTATGACACAAGCTATTTTTTCTGGTAATATTGTAAAGTTTTAGGTTTCTTCTTCATATTTTATCACCAAAGTAAATCATCATCATCATATTTTAGAAGTGAGTGTTTAGCGCCAAAGTGAAGGGTTGCGAAAGTATTTTTTTTTTTATTAAATAATGTATTATTTTTCGAGTATAAAGTATCTGTTATTTTTTTTATTTCATACAATTCTGTAATCAGTCCGTTGCCACGCTTAAATAAAGACATTCACATAATGCTATCAGGCAATATACATACATATGTAAATGAATTCGTATTTTGCCAATTATACCAAAACTGGCATGTTTCAGAAAGAAAAATATTCATACCCCACAGAGCAATTCTTCGGATTACTGATAGCGAAATTTTATATAAATGTACATGGATCAACATGTGTATATATGTACTTACATGTAGTTGTATACAAATATTGTTACCAGGCTACAGACGGATTTTAATATATTCTTAATCGAGCTTTAGTCACTTCATTATTTGCTAATAAATTAAGACAAAAACAATTATTTGAATTTACAGTACACAATATTTATACTTTTGGGTGTATTAGGTATAGAAATATGTGAGTATGGATGTACGCTTATGGTGCCCAGCAGAATTACCTACTTGACTTAAGATGCAAGCACAGCTGCGAAAAATTATTTAGAAAAATATACACAAAAATATGTATAAATAAGAAATGATATTTGCACACACACATTTATGTACTGAACGAGCTGATTAATTAGCGAGCTACTGATTTTAGTCAGTCATTAAATGACCGCTTCAGGATGCACGTTAACTTTTTGCTTTTGTTTATAACGGTTCTGTTTGTAACTGGTATAAGTGCATTTAAGGATGCATTAATCGTAAATTTACCGAACGGTAGAATACGTGGCCGCGATAACAATCACTACTACAGTTATGAATCCATTCCTTATGCAGAACCACCACTTGGTCCACTACGATTTGAATCACCCCGTCCGTACGCTAGAAATTGGACTGACACATTTGACGCGACCCGTGAACCAGTCGAATGCATGCAATGGGATCAATATAAATCTGGCGCCGATAAACTGCACGGTGTCGAAGATTGTCTCACGGTAAACGTCTATAAGCCAAAGTTGCCAGCCGTTGCGGTTGCAGGGAATGGTATGCCGGTGGTGGTGCTTATACATGGTGGCGCCTTTATGTTCGGTTCAGTACGGGCTAATGGTCATGAGAATTTTATGCGTAACGGTCGTGTAATTGTTGTGAAAATGGGTTATCGTCTGGGTCCTTTGGGCTTTCTTAGTACTGAAGATGCGGTTATATCGGGTAATTTCGGAATGAAGGATCAACGTTTAGCGTTGCAATGGATCAAGGCGAATATTGCACGTTTTGGTGGTGATCCAGAACATATTATGGTATTGGGTTTCTCCTCAGGTGCCGTTGCCGTACATTTACATATGTTGGCACAACGAAATTTTACAGAATATGCTAAAGTAGCCGTATCCTTTAGTGGTGTCGCCTTTAATCCATGGGCGATTACGCATAAGACACGGGAGCGCGCCTTTGAATTGGCAAAACACCTGAACTGTCCAGATGTCAGTAGCTCACAATTGATTAAAGAATGTCTGCAGCGCAAACCGGCAGCGGCTATTGTACGTGGTGTGCGAAATTTTCTTGTCTTCGGCTATAATCCATTCACAACTTTTGGGCCTAGCATTGAAGATGCCGCTGTTGAGGATGCATTTTTGACGCGTTCACCTCAGCAGATAGTAGAATCAGGTGATTTCGCCAAAATACCTTGGTTAGTGTCTTACGCAGCACAGGATGGCGCTTACAATGCTGCGGAACTGCTACAACGTATGCCACGTAGAGAGGAGTTGATTGAAGTATTTAACGATCGATGGTATGATTTGGCGCCATACAATTTATTCTACAAGGACACTATGCATACTGTAGAACAGATGGATGATTACTCGGTAGCATTGAAACGTCGCTACTTGGGAGAAAAGGAATTCTCGATTGACACCTATCCGAATATGCTACGCATGTATACGGACGTACTGTTCCGAAATGGTGTGGAGCAAGCGATACGCTTGCAGCGACAACACGCAACTAGTCCAATTTATGCATATGTTTATGATAATCCCGCGGAAGAGGGTATAGGTGAAGCGTTATCACACCGCAAAGACGTAAAAATGGGTGTGTAAAAATTAGCTTTCTTTGTTTTTCCCTCATCTCTACTTTGTCACTTTCAAATATTTTCACTTCATAGGTACTGTGCATGGAGATGACTTCTTTTTAATTTTCAATCGCGTTGGGAGAACTAAAATACGCGCCGATGAACAAATAATATCGCAGAAATTCCTTACAATGTTGCAAAATTTCGCAGCGAAAAGGTAAAACAATTTGGAAAATTATGAGTCTATACCCTTCATTTTTTATGTTCCTTTTTAGTGATGAATTAAGCTTTGGTGATTGCAAATTTGTCGACAACGTTGGAAAAGAGGAGTATCAGCTAATGTTTATTACAAATGATACATGTATTAATAAGTCAATTTTAACTCTGCCATCGTTTTAAAAATATAAATAAATTCTAAGTTTTAACACAAAATATATCTTATTCCTCAGTATTTCCATATAAATCAATTTTACTGTCTAAGAAGCGGAAATCGTTTAATATATGTAACTTATTACTATAGCCCGCAATAGACATGAATTTTATGGGCTCCAATTGCCATACAGCCGAATAAGCAGCGGTATGTTCTAAGGGTATATTTGCTTGTATGTCACCATTCATGGCATAAAACTGTGCATGACTATGCTCACCGGCCACAAATAGGTTTTCCTCGACGAAATCGCAGACATGAACCTTTCCTGGAAACTCGAAGTCCCGCATGCACTCCATAGTTCCCAAATGCCAAATCGAAAACTTTGGTCCACCCCCACATATGAGCCAATCATCATTAGTAGCTACCGCTCCAATCCATTTTCCATATTCCGGACGCATTAGTTGTGCATTTGAACTTGGTTCTAATTTTGCTGTGGCCTCTTTTTGTTGCTCACTCCAAAATCGAACTGTACCATCTTCGGAAGCTGAAAAGATGCGCCCTCTGTCGCTACCTGCTACACCATGTATGTAATCTGTATGACCTCGATAGTCTCGTACAATGTGTCCATCCTCTAAATTGATTTGATAAATTATATTATCGCCACAACCGGCATACAGTGTGTCGGTTTCGGCGCGTAACCATAGAAAATTCACATCGGGTACTTCAACGGCATCGACGTCTAGCGGTATTTTCACTTCCCATTTGGGTGTAGTGCTCAGTTCTCGCTTTTCTTCGTTCCATGATAAACCGTACACAACACCGATGGCGCCCACAATAAGAAAATCGCGATGACAACAGAGACTGTTAATCTCTGTTTGACTAGGCTGCGGGAAAACGAGTACTTTAGATCTTGGTGTATCTGTTTTTTCCAAGTCGTGCAAGCTGAAATTGAAGTAAAGTATTTTTTTTAGATAAATAGCATAAGCTTAAATGTTTTAATTACTAACTCTTGGGCAAAAATATCACCAAAGCGATTACCGGCGAACAAAAAGCGGCCAGATTCTGAAATGGCTTGTGATATTACGTTATTGTACATAATCTTTAGCTTTAAATCTTTCATTTTGGAATATAGTAGCAAAAATATCTTGTATGAAAATACTCTATAATAAAACGCGGTGGAATTTTTGCCGGTTGTTGTAAACAAGTAAATAATTCCTAATGACCAGGTGTTTTGATTTTGCCTTAGACAGCATTGCCATTACAAGCAATTTTGAGGAAAGTTCTGTTATTCCTTGTCATGCTATCGATAAACCGATAATTTTAGTGAAACGAAAAGGAAGGAGTTTGTAAATTTTTGAAAATCAAAATTAAATGTAAATCATCAACGCAATATTTGGAATTAAATCTCTATTTGAAGTATTTAATTTATTGTATCCAAAACCTTTTTATTATTAATAAACCTTTTATTTTAATACCCATATTCTGTTGTTTTATGCAGGAGAAGCAGTAGCTGTTTTTACATTTTTGAATTAGTCGCTTTGTTGTTGTTGTTTTAAAGGTTATCTAATCCCCGTTTGGGTGGTGAGGGTCATTTGGGTTGCCGTCGAGATCATCTAACGGGAGGCCCAGGAAACGTGCTGTTTGAGATGAGTAGGGTTAGTAGGGCATGCAAAGAGGTGGCCAGTATCGTGCGAGCACTCGTTGCATGCAGGGAATTAGTCGCTTTCATATAGGCTGCTACAATGCCCCGGTGCTTTCAATTCAATTTAAATAATTGTCTGTGATAATGTGGGTAACAGAAATTATTAAATGACTTTGCGATTTTGCAAAAGTGATATATAAATGCTGATATAAATCATAAAGCAAAAGTTGAATAGGGATTCCGCTGCCTCGATATCAATGCTTCTTGCTAAGATTACTTTATTTTTCTCATTTAGTAAGTATGTACGTTATTTTTACATTTTACGATACTTTTTGTAATATGCAATGTATGTATTAAGATCTTAATATTATAATACGAATTTGAATTCCCTACATTTCTAGCATCGTTTTATTTATTGGATGTCTTATCATTTTGTTATCGGCTTAAGCAAGTGACCACAGCTTTTGTATGTACTACGGTTTAAGGGGTCGACTTCTATACATAGACACATACATAGGTATTTGCATAAAGACCACATTGATGCATAAAAAATAACGTTGTTTATATTGCGGTCTGCACAAAAAAAAGTTATTTACAAAATTCTATAAATAGACATCGCCACATAAAGTTTTGAATATTAATAAATTTGCTTCTTGCATTAACTAAAATATTATTATTTAATATTTGTGGTTAAATAGCCATAATTTCTTGAATCGCTACTACTTATGGAAAGAAAATGTATCTAAAATGTTTAGCTAGAAATTCCAGACATTATTCAATTTCATTGGTTCATTAGAGAGCTTTTTCGATCTTTAATAAATAAAATTGGACACAAATGAGTAGCAGCAATTAATATATTAATGCTAATAACCAATTTGTTTTCACAAACAGATTTTAACTTATTTATGTGCATAGTAAATCGCGCCGGCAACACCTAAAACAGACATTGATTAATAATAACAGATCCGAGCAGAATAGACAAAACAAGTAGATACCTTATGCAGAATGCAAATAGTTTGCAGATGTAAATGCATAGCCGTAATAATAATTTTATTTAAACACCTGAAAATTGGAACAAAGATGCATCTTACTGACGTACATAGACACCGCTTACGCGATTAGAGTCGAATTCACAAAAGCGCGCCAGTCATTTCTTCCTTTCGCAGCTTAGCGCCAATTGGAAATTCCAAGCGAAGCCAGGTCCTTCTCCACCTGGTCACTCCAGCGGAGTGGAGGTTTTCCTCTTTCTCTGGTTACCCCGTCGGGTATTGCGTCGAATACTTTTAGAGCTGGAATGTTTTCGAGGCTGATATTGTTGGTGTTAATACTGGTTCCAAGATAGACGAAACTAGCGCCGACTTCGAAGTTATGACTGTCAACAGTGACTTGGGAGGCTAGCCGCGAGTGCAACTATTTGTCGTATGAGCCTCATTCATTGCCAGACGCATTTGCTTTGATGAACTAACCACGCGCGTGTTGAGGCCAATGATATCAATATCATCGGCATACGCCAGCAGCTGTCGAGCAACTGATTAAAGTTTTGCAGCTCGAATTATTTTCTCCAGCAACAGATTGAAGCAGTCGCACGATGGGGAGTCGCCTTGTCTGAAACCTCGCTTGGTATCGAACGGCTCGAAGAGGCCCTTCCCGATCATAACGGTGCGTATCGTATTGCTCAACGTGCGGGGACACCAAATTCAGACATCGCGCCATAACGGCAGCTCCTTTTCGTGCTGTCGAAAGCAGCTTTGGAATCGATGCAGAGGTGGTGTATTTCGATTATCTTTTCATAGGTCCTTTCTAAGATTTGGTGCACGGTTAATATCTGGTGGGTTGTTGATTTTCCCGTTTTAAAGCCCCAAGGTCCAAAGTCGATAGAACCTTATTTGTGATGTTTAAGAGACTTATCCCACGGTAGTTGGCGTAGATTGTAGGGTTTCCCTTTTTGCCAATTGGGCAGAGCACATTTAAATTCCAATCGTTGGGCATGCTTTCGTCCTACCAAATTTTACAAAGAAGCTGATGCATGCTCCTTATCAGTTCTTCGCCGCCGTGTTTGAATAACTCAGCCGGCAATCCATCGGCCTCCGTCGCTTCAGACGAATAATTGCTATTCGAAATTCTTCATGGTCGGGCGATAGAACGGCTGCCCCATCGTTATCGATTGGGGAATCGGGTTCGCCTTCTCCTGGCGTCATGCTTTCACTGCCATTCAGCAGGCTGGAGAAGTGTTCCCTCCATAATGTTAGTCTAGCATCGGTTATTAGATCACCTGTGTGGGTTTTACAAGAGTATACTTCAGTTTTGAAACCTTCTGTTACTCGCCGCATTTTTACGTCGAATTTTCAAGCATTACCCCTGTCGGCCAGCATGGCAAGCTCTTCATACTCTTACATTTCGGTCTCTCTCTTATTCTGCCTGCAAATGCGTCTCGCTTCCCTCTTCAACTCTCGGTGTCTATTCCATCCCGAACGTGTGGTTTTTGATCGTAATGTTGCCAGTTAGGTAGCCTGTTTTCTCTCCCCTGCGCCACGATGCTCCTCGTTATACCAGCTGTTCTTTTGAATTTTCCGAAAACCAATGGTTTCGGTTACAGATGTACATAAGGGGTTTGAAATGCCGTCCCACAGTTCTCTTATACCGAGTTGTTGACGAGTGCTCTCAGAGAGCAGGAGTGCAAGTCTAATGGAAAATCGGTTGACTATCTGTTTTAATTGCAGCTTCTCGACGTAATCCTTCCTTGTGTCTGGTTTGGGGTTTTTCCATCCAGAGACGGCCAGGTAGCTTGGTGAATTTTTCTACGCTGGAATCTTGTACCATATTTCGGGACCCGGCGAATTCGATCAGTCTCAACCCATTTGGGAATTGCCTACCCATGCTTTAAAGTAGCCAAGCACTATTTAGATATAGTGGCGGTAGCAGCGCTCATAGAATCGTTATCCTTAATTCGTTTTCTACGGTCACCCGAGGCATAGCTCTGTGAAAATTCGGGTCGATAAAATCTCTTCAAAGCTTTCATGAGCAGTTGGCGTGATGTACATGTTGCCAGTTCATGCGCTTAATAAAAAGGGTACCACAGTCTTTACGCCACCTTCGAATTGAAAGAAATACCCTCAGAGGCTTAAACTCGCTTACCGTGGAGCCACCACAGTTAGAAACAACTTTTTTGTAATTAGTTTCAAATAATGATAACATCCACGCTTTGCAGAATGGTATGGGCGTAATAATGGATTCTGTAAAACCTTAGACATATGTAGTATATATTATGTACCATAAATGCATTCTAGAAGTTGGTGCGTCGTGGTTTAAAAAAGGTTCTATAGGTGCCTCTTGAGACTTGGACGCCAATGTGTTTATATGAGGGATCCTACTCACGAAGGCCTCGGCTAGCAGAAAAGGTGGACCGGGTATCACAGTAAA